AAAAATTGAGGCAGTTCTGAAGGCAAAAGGGGGTCCAACCCGTTACTAGCATGGGGTACCTAATAAAGTGGCCGATGAGTGTATATTATTATTGTGGCCTTCAAGGTATCATGCTAGGTTTAGCAATAATAACCATACAAGTTTTAGCATGTTGTTTTAAGGAATACTAACATCACGAGTTTTGGGAAGGCATGTTGTTAATAATTCTGGCAACGGCTGAACCATGAGAATTCACGCGGTTGTGGAGGGACAGAGATGAATGCAGATGATTGTTTTTTTCCATTCCAACCAAATGGCAGAGATTGGTCATAGTTTTTAGAGGCTTGCAGCTCCCACAGAAGTCTGATTTGTTACATTCCTTTTTCTGAATACGTCACGTACTGACCACCCTCAGGATGGAGGGACCATTTCACTCAATATAACAAAAAGTGTTTCTGAATAGAATAACCTTTATTTATAGAGGCTTGGATCTCACTGAGATCCAAGTTCTTATTCTCAAGAAAGACCTGTTGGATTCAACAAAACAACAAAAAAAACAATAGGATTTTACAGATGTACGAACAAAATAAAAACTAAGAAAAAAACATACATAAACTTAAAAAGACATGATATTATTATAAAATGAAACCATATCCCAACACTGTAAATAAAACTGACTGACCTTGGCAGCTTAACAGAAAATCAGAAATCCAACAGGTGTAACAAAAACACATTTACAACCTGTTTACTACAAATTACAAAAACATTTCATTTAATATTTGTGAATTAAAATGTGCAATGGGTTCATTCTACAAGCAAATCCAAGTGGAATGCTTTGATGTTTTAAAAACAGGGTTTTATTTTGAAGCCAACTGCCATTATTCCTCTGTTTATATTTTTCTATTACTATTTCTAAATGTCATCCATGGACAATTTTCAAGCTAGTGAGATATTCAGCCTGCTGCAGGGAGTCTTGCTGAGGTCAATGTGAGCAGGATCCATCCACATGCTTCACTCTTACCATGTCTGACACCCCATCTGGCTTACCTTTGCTTTATAAACTATGCATTTTGCCGTGTGAAGAATAGATTCAGTTTGTATTGCTATGAGACAATGAAGTGAAGCTCTCCATCATGCCAGATATCCATGTTTAGCACTCAATGCCTGTTCCAAATCCCCATGTTAAGGTGTAAAACCTTTCATTTGTTGTAACGAGTACATCTGTCCACTGTGAGATCAAATAAGTCAATTAACAGGATTTAGCATCAATCAGTATGGCAGAAGTGAAACACAGACGTACCTGATTTGCACTCTGGACAGACAAACTTCCCTTTGGGTGCCTCAGCTAGAGAGATGCATGGCAGGTGAAAAGCTCCACAGCACTGACCCTCACAGAGCAGCAGCTCCCCTGTCTTCTCACATACCTGACAAAAACGAATACAAACTACAATCACAGAAATTACAGTAAAAATGTGTTTGTGTGGTTGAATTACATCGTCTCATTGGCACCCATAATGAGTCCCGTTAAATTAATCTAAAAGAGGCCCTTTAAAGCTATTTCAAGTCGTTTAGGGTGTCACTCTTCAAAATGGGAAAGAGACGAGAACATGTCAATCCTTAAAAGGTGGGAATTAGAGAAAAGAAAATAGTCAAATATGTGAAGGAGCTAATCTCTGTGGTCACAACAGCAATGGAAAAGTTTAAAATAACTGGAACTGCTACACAGGAATGCCTGGATGGGAAGCTAGTGTTATCTTTTTTTTCTATTGGGAACAGTGAGTCAGATAGTGTGGGAATAAAATCCTTAAAAGCTCAATGTTGGAGAAGTGCAGAAAAGTGTGCCATCTTGTGGGCCCCAAATCTCCGTAATAGCCATTAGTACTTGTGCGTTCTCATGTGCTTGTAAAACATCTCAAACCCTTAAACTGCTCCAATTGACACACACTGAACACAAGACTGAGAACAGAAATAGTCTCTGGATGTTGTTTTTGGTCCTCCCTCTTTACCAAGCATGCATCAGAGCAGACTTGTCTGTTCTCCAGACACACAAATGTCCCAGCATGCAACGCGGTAGCACAGCAACTTCCAAGGGAGTGCTCACAGAGCTCAGAGTTTTGATTTAAAAGTTATTTTTTTCTGTTGCTGTTCTTCTACAAAAGTAAGCTTAAAGATTATTTTTAGTTGAGAAAATTGTGTTTTTAAGCTTCAATGAATGGCCCGTTAACTGATTTAGTGATTAATAAAAAAAAAAGTTCTGATGCTGAGAGGACAGTGGAAACCAGGGGACCTCCGAGGCTAACTGCAGCCCGTCTGCAGCAGCCCTCTCTCTCAACAGCTGTGTGTGAAGTACTGCTGGCTCTCATGGCAAGTTTTTGTTTTATTAGGCAAAATGTTAATTTGATTTGTGTTTATCTGTCTGTATTAATCATTATTATCTCACTAAATGAAAAAAGTAGAGCTGTATTATTATCTATAGACTATCAATAACAGGAGGTGAAACGGGTAAAACACAAAAGCAGAGCGTGTGGTGGTGTCCTGAGTACGATTCTGTTCCGATTGACACTGATTTGTTCTGCGTGCTTCCGTTTTTCACTAAGTCCATACTTCGTGCGTTCTTGTCGGGACCGTACTTGGTGAGAACACGGGTCCATACTTGTGTGGTGAATTGAAAAACGGCCAACGATCAAAAAACTAAATCCCTGTTCGAGCTAGAAATGTATAGGAATTTAGAGTGACTGTTCTGACTACGTTTATACCTGATACTTCTTCACCAGTCCCTGAATTCAAAGAGGGGTGTAACTTCTTCATGAAGCCCAGTTTCTAAGACAGTAATCTCATGAATGATCGGGGATCAGCGTTAATCTCTAAGAATGAGGCCTTTAATCTAAAATAAATAGTGATGATGCTTTTACTTTTGTACATTTTTGTACAGAATCTAAGAACCTATGCAGATACTAATGTGTAAAACAAAGTTTAAATTATTCTTTAAACACATTAAAAGACCCTGAGATGACCATCATATCTAAGTGGGCTCAGCATTCAGTTTAAATGTGCTCTAAGTACTTTAGTCTTCCCTCTGTATCCTCCAAACCATCCTTACACAGCTCTACAAAGTCTATATATCATTTTGAAGATTCCTACCTGACACACATTCTCCTTCATGGAGGCGGGCCCTCCTCGGTCACCTATGATCTTCCTTACAGGTAAAACTGAGTCGTCACACAGCAACAGGTCGTCCTTCACGGAGAACCTTTGCTCCTGTCCAAACTTGTCTTCCTATCAAAACAGCATGTTTCTTTTGTAATCTTTTGTTTATCAGATTTAAACAGAGGAGGAGTTATGGGGTGAACATCAGCTCACCTCTGACTCCACTGAGTCCTTTGTGTCTTCCTGGATGCTGTTATCAGAGTGAGAAACATCCACTGGAGCCGTCTCTACCTGTTCAGGCTCAGGCAGGTCGGACCCCGGATCAGGGGGTACAGGAGGCGCTTGGGGCTGAAGGGAGGGTACCGGTGGGCAGGTGGTGACCTCAGAGACTGGTGTGGAGGCTGGTGGAGATTTGGTCTTGGTTTTGGAAGATGGTGGAGAAGAATCTGTTCACAAGGAAGTCAATTATTGACACTAAACAACACAAGGTGACTAAAAAGTGACAGCTATCTAAAGCAGAAACTGTGTTAATTCCTGTCCCTTAATATAAGGGATTTATGGGTCTCCTCTTTTTAATTTGACAGATTTATTGTGGAAACTGCAATGAAAAAATTTCACCTTTCTCCCTAAAATTTCACTATTTTGGTAGAAGCCACAGTTAATTACATTTAGATTTTACATTAGGTACATTAGGTTATTGGTATGTGTGGTAAATGCATATTCAAATACATTTGTATTTAAAAATTGTGGTTAAAATGTTTCAAAATAACTTTCTATTGAAACATTTGAACAAGTTTACATTTCCATTCAGTTTTTTTTTTTTTTTTTGGGGGGGAAAGCATAAATAATCCCAACATTTTTTTTTTCTTGGGGGGGGGGTTGCCTCTGTTATCATGCAGCTGGAGGGAAGATAAACTCAGGACTTTGTCACGACTTGTTGGTCAAACATCCAGCTGTTTTTAACTTTATTTTTTAATGTTCTGACTGCAGCTGTACTCTTACTGCCATATCCTGACACATTTGTGTTTCTTCAATGGTTTGTTCTTTAGCTTTCCCATTTTAAAGATTGTATCAGAGATATTTGCTACATCATAGTTTTACATGGATTACCAATTATGTTGTGCAAGTATACTCTGACCCTGTTTAAGAAGTAAAATAAAAATTGAAAAATTGCTGTGGTTCCATTTATTTGATAAGAAATGTTATAAAAAATCTATAATTATTCATCACTATGGCCCTATTTATAACACTGAATAAATGAACTTAAATTGAAGGTTGGATTGTTTTACATTTTTCACTGTATGATTTAACAACAAAAACAGGATAATTTATTTTTTTTCTTCTGACATACTTTTAAATGCATATTATTAGGAAAGAATATAGGATATCCTTCACCTGTTCGAGGGGCAGCATTTGAATTTGTCTTCAGAGCTTTAATCTGAAAGAAAAAAAAAAAACATGAGAAACAGAATCAGCTTTATTGTCCGAGTTAGTGCACAAACCAGAAGGATAACTTTCACACATTGACAGTGTATAGATATTAAATGTTAATGCATATAAAGTTATGAGAAGGTTAAATAATAATAAAAACATATGTATTTTTATAGACATTTTAGAACTGTGCAAATGAAATGTACAATCTCAATAAAAGAAAAAAAAATAATTTGATGCTTTCTTCTGTTTTTGTTTTCCTTCTCTGGTTTTTATTTTGATAAAAAAGTGAACAAGCTATATTTGGACCAAAGAAATCACCAGCAGTGATTTCTTTGGTCTGATTCTCCTGGTGCCATGTGTGAGGAAAATTCAAAACACATTAAAACACATTCAAGTTAATATATTTTTTAATAGATTAGTCTGAATTCACTTCATGAACTTCAGCAGGAAACTAAAAGACCAGTAAAAAAAAAAATCAATAGTAACAAGAAGATATTAGATAAACTTTGATTTGTGTGCCAGGAAAAGGTCCACTTTCCTTTTCCTTGTGTACTCAGTTATATTCCCAGTACCAGCTGGATTCATTACTAGAAATAATTATTGTCCACAAATATTTAAAACTTTGGTTAAAACGACTTTGAAAACTAGAACAAAAAACCAAAAGGAAAACAAAGTCACTAACAAATGTTTGGCACAACTTCAAGTTCATTAGGATCAACAGTTGAGCAACATTATTGTACTTGAAATATTGGGATATCTTATAAATATTCTGCTGTATAAGGCCTTGCATGGAAAGCCTAACAGTTTCCCTGAGTAGTTGGGGTCATAGGTCACCTGTTATTTGTTAGGTCTTTTGTTTCGTTTGCATTTTCTGCAAGCATCTTTGCTCACTGCCAATAATCCTACTGGCCATGCAGAGGATGCTGCTTTTGTTATTCCACGCTAGGCGTAAATAGCAAACACTGTTCTTATATTCAGTGCCTAAAATGTTTTTGTGTACATCATATGAATATTTTTCTAATTGAATATATTGTACATACATTCCATAGTTAAAAAAAAAAAATTAATCTACATAAAGCATCGAGTTCAAATGATAAAAATTACGAGATATTTGAGTTTATGAGCCATTCCAACTAGATGATCTTTACATTATAATGTCCTACAGTGGATAACATTGTTTATTCTAGACTTCAATGACAAACAATTCACCAATCTTACACAGCTTATCAATATGATTGAATTATAACCAACAGATGTTTCCTGCTTTAGCCATGCCTCCGGCAAAATGATCTTACACACTATACATGCGTTTTCCTACACCGGAGACACTTCCTCCATTCTATTAATTGGTTTCACATTTGACCAAGTAAGAAGAAACCTAAAGTCACCCTTTCAGTTTTATCTCCTGGGATTTTCCTCTGCCACCGTAATCTAAAAATCTCTTCACTATGAGGCCTGAGTTTATATCTAAAAACAAATGTAAATCTAAATAAGTAATTTTTTCCTACTATAAGGGAATTGAGGAGGTAAGTGAGACCCTTTACCAATGGAATAAGAAGATTTACATTTGAAATAAGAAAAAAACAATTGCATTGTCTTATTCCAAGCACATTTTATTTAATTTTCTTATTTTAGTAGTAAACATGCTCATTCCATTGGAAAATCCTCTTACTTACCTACTGAAATTAAAGCTACAGTGTGTAATTTTCAGCAACATCTAAAGTCCAGACTGCAGACCGCATCAACATGAACATCTCCCCCCCACCGCTTCTCCCCCCCAACAGTACGGCGAGCGTTACGGGACAAAATGTCTTCCACGACGTCCGCATCACCTACCTTCTCAAGGGATGAGGTTTGTTTACATAGATAATTTTACAGATAGTATTTCATTAGTCTGTGTAGGGTATAGATTTCAGTACCGTCTCAGTTCATCTCTCTCAACTTGTCGTAGTTACTTTCGAGCATAATGGGCGATCTCGCAATCGCTAGTTTGTTGGCTCTGCGCTGCCGTAGCGCAAAGATGTCTGCCTCCATGGCTGCGAGACCCGCTCCTATGTAATTATAAATAACGAATTCTAAGGCAACGCAAATATTAAGGTTAAGAGGCTGAGCTCGCAGATGATGATAAATACCATAATTATGTATAATTTACATTTCTGACTGTATATCCCTGAAATTATTACACACTGTAGCTTTAAGGGTAAATACACTTAATCTAAGACATTTTTACTTATTTCTGGATTGTTTTTGCAGTGTGCTGGAAGATGATCCATCTGTTGTATCTGACTGACCCATGTCACTGGAACCCCATAGGATGCTTTTGTTTCTAATCTGAGGTGTGGAATTACACAGGGATCTCAGAAAGTCATGCTACTGGTGTTGGAAACTGGAAACTAAAGACTTTACCGAGGCAATAAATCTGATAACCACAGAACAGGCTTAAATCGGAGGCAGCTGGACCTTTGAAGTCCGGCTGCCTCCGATTTAAGCCTGTTTTGTGTTGGCCATGACCCAGATGACCGCTGAGAATATGCACAGGCATCACTGACAACATGCGGGAAGTTAAGATGACAATTATCCAAGACAGCAAAGAATCAGGGCCTCTGCTTACATTATTATAGATTTGAGGGATGCAACAATAATAAAAAATCTTAACACATTAGATGTGTTTCCATCAACCTTATTTCTGAGCACTTTGAAGAATGGCATTAGCTGAGTTTGTTCATACAGATAAACTTCCCAAGTTTCCCCCAAAAAGGTTTTGACACTCACTTGAGATATTTTTTTTGACGTAAATGTGCTAAAGAGGAGAAAGAAATACATTTAAAAAAAATAACTTCTGATGTAAAAAAAAATCTCATATGGCTGATCAGCTGTTTCCGTCGCTGCCTGCGTCCTGCAGCATTAGAATCAAACTAATCTCTCTCGATGTCGCCAGATGGCACGAACATCACTGATACTCTACTTTCTGTTTACTACAGCAAAGCTTAACATCTTCAATTTGCTCCAATGAATGGAAACATGCCCTCCCCACCCCGGACCCAATGAACACTGCTATTTCTAACGACATGTAGCAGATATATGTTGCTCTACCTTCTTCTTTGGGACTGTAGATGCCTCGGCCTCCAGACAGTATTCCAGAATCTTCTGCGTGGGCTTCCTCTTGCGCTTCTTTTCAAGCACAGGAGCAACTCCTGTGAATTGAGGATTAAAGAAAAACTGTTGGAAACCCTAAAGACCTTCTGACACCGTCTGACCAAAAGGCACATGGCAGGCTGATGCCACATGAGGCTAAAGTAAAAATAACAGTGGCAACCCATTGTTCCTCCCCCTCTATCTTAGTAAACAAAATGAATGTTGGTTTAACTGATGATTTGGGCTTGTTTTGGAAGCCCTGAGTTGAGCCTAGAGACCCTTTCAAATCAAATCTATTTTTTACAAATTAAATAAACACTAGAAAATCAACATCATGAGTTCTGAGAAAAAAAGTTTAAGAAAAAAATCCTCTTAGTTCAAATTCTGGACCTTAGGAGATCTTGAATAGATGATTTTACACCTACCGTAAATGAACTGAAGATGTGCTGCATATAGTGCAAAGTTACTACGAAGAATAAACTTTATGGCTGCCTTACTGTTTTTAACGATGCCCTCTGACTGCAAGGGTTCAACTTCAGGAGGAGGAGTCAAGGAGTCTATTGAAAGGACTGGGATCTCCTGGATCGGTGGGTGTTCTGCTTTCTGAATCTGAAGTTCTGAAGGCTCAGTTGGAATGAATTCTTCAGGAGGTGGTGTAAGTATTTCGGGAAGCAAGGAGGAGGATGAGTTGTCGGGTATGTTCTTATCCAAATTCGAAAGCTCAGGCACAAAAACGACAGATTCGTTGGCCTAAACAAAAACATATTATGCATAAGATGTTAAATTTCAGAAACCCAAACTGGATTGGAGGCAAACTATAACAGAGGCTTAAAAATGTAATGATTGCAAAAATAGAACAGAGTTCACTTTGTATAATTTTACCTTTTCAACCAACTGGAGAGGCCTTTTAGGTTTCTTCCTTGAGGAGAAAATCTGGTTGTAATCCTCATTCCATTCAAGCAGCCTCTTACTGGGTTTCCGTATTCGTTTATGTTCTGAAAACCACAAGGAGAAGAAAATCGTTTATGGAGAAACATGCATTCCCCACCAATGTGGTGCATTTAGGCTTTTAGACATGAAGACAACTGTTTAATTTTCCTTTTCATCTGCTCTGCCCATCTCTTTTCCCCATTAATAAGCAAAATATCAGATGTTGTACTGAGCCACTTGCAGCTATAGGGGGAGGCAGCCATACCTCCCGACCACTGCCTTCAAATGTTGTACCACCCTTTGAACAATGGAAGCTGAACGGCTTAACCTTTATATATTAGGACTAGGTAAAAAAATCTATTTAATCGATTTAGGAATCGATTTTGAATCGATTCCTAAATCGATGTCTAGGGAATGAGATTGATTAGTACTTGACGTTCACATTCAAATGAGCAGGAAAGATGCACTCAAGATTACTTCAAGCCATACAGCTGCAAATATAGCCAATATGTTGACTGAAGGCATTAACAAATGGGGACTGACCAGCAAACACCCTGTAGTTGTTACAGACAACGCTGCAAATATAGTTTGTGTACTGAAGATAATGCAGCTCATGCATGTGTGTCTGAGTGAGGCTTCACTTTTTCACTTTTCACAAACAAGTTTGCACTTATGAGACAGTTTTGTTCACATCTCAAGTTTAAACTATCTGATTTACAAGTTTGCACTTTGTGTTTAACATGACAGGAAAAAATAAAATACATGAGTATTTTAAAACACAGTTGAACCATTTTCATTATTGTAAAAACAGATCGAATCGGAATAAATCGATTTAGAACTTTATTAATCAAAATCGAAACGATTCAGGAATTTGGCAAAAATACCCAGCCCTACTAGATATGCACACCTTAACATGCCTGTAACTATCAAAATGGCACATTTGAATAGGTAGGCAGGTCTCTCTCGCATATCTACAAAGGGTGGTAGACCACGGCCTTATTTTAACATAATTTTGACAGGTCACAATATAATGGCTATAATGCGTTAGCATGAACCCTTGTCTTTAATTTAAGATAAACAATAAATGCACATAGTCAAGGGTAACTAAAGCATTATAGAGATGTCTGGGACTGTTTTAAGTGTTAAAACCTGATTCTGTCAGCATCACAATCTTAACAATAGTTAAGATGGTGGTAGTGTTTGACACTGCCTTAGCTTCAATGACAGGAGGCCTCGGTTGTATCTGTTTAATCATAAAGCACAAACTAAATCGTGCTATAGAAAATAACCTTTCATCATTACTATCGTAAGGGCTGTATATGAGACTCTCATTACCTGCTGATGCCTTGTCCTGTTCCCCAGCTTCATCAATCAAGCCTTTTTTATTTCCCATGCCATCTCCAAGAAGGCTGGTTGACTGTTCCAGGGTGATTGTGGGACTCTCCCTCATTTCCAAAGGTAGAGTAATCTGTTGACTGTCCTTTAAGCTTTTCCACCTCTTCTCATCCTCTTCTTTTCCACCCAGGCCTTCGTTACAACCAACCTGGGTCTCCTGGCTGCTGCTGCTTTGTGCATCCGGGGTTATCGACGAGAGGCTTGCTTTTGGGCAGGAAGTCAATGCTGCTGATTCAAGTCCTGGATAACCAGGTCCAGACTTGAAAGAATGAAAAGGCACTCTCCGATTTGTTTTCTTCTTCAGCCAATGGGTGCTGCCCCTTTTGGTATATGGCCTCTTGGGTTTCTCAACTGTACCACATCCGTTTTGTACAACCACATTTTTGTCAAGGATTGAGTCAGAATTGCTAAGACTACATTCAAGTTTTTGCCCGTGTCCTTTTGATGGAGCCTTGTCTGGCATAACCAAGGGCTCCTCCTTCACATGTGCACCAGGTGGCCCAATCTCTAACTCCAGGGGCGCACCTTCTCGCTCTCTAGTGTCATGCAAGTCCTTCAACATCATAAGAAAAGTGCTAAACTGGTATTTTGAGTCTGACTTGAAAGAAACAGGTTTCGCATCACTACCATTTGTTAAGGATTGAAAGGAAACCTCCTTAACACCCTTAAAGGCTTTCATGAAGGAAAATGGTGAGGGAGGAGATGAAGATTGTGTTTTAGGGGACTTATTCTCATGTTTTGCCTTTACTTTTGAAGTAAGGGGTATAAAGTCCATTGGGGGAGTTGAAGAAACTGACATGTCTTCATCTTCACTTTTAACATCACTTTCAAAATCATCTGAATCGGACAAAGAAGGGGAGCTACATCTAGAAAAGGTGCTTTGATCATACTCACCATTGTCAATGTGATTAGATTTTATATGTTTTTTATCAGTGCATTTAACAATTTTGGGATCAGGATTCCATGCAAGATCCTCAACTTTTTCAAGATTCTTCACCAGTTTACTTCGTTCAGGATCTTGCTGGGCTTTTTTGCGCTTATTTTGGTCTATCTCCTGCAAGGCCTTAAGTGCTCTATTCATTAGCCGATTGCTGGCCGGTAGATGGGCTGGCTGGTCTTTTAAGACTTTCTTAACTTCTTTAGCTCGCTTTAGTTTGTGAACAGCTGTTTTGGATTTTGGAGGAGAAATATCTTCAAGCACTTGAGAGGTTCTAGTTGGAGAAGCTGTATCTTTAACAGATGAAATGCTTTCATCTTTACTGTCCGACTGGTTAGAGGATACCTTTGTTTCATTGCAGACAGAAGTAATTTTAGATTCCAAACCGTCTGATTCATTGGTTGATAAGGTAGCCAAGCTTTTTAGGCAAACCTTTGGCACTGGTATCTGTTCCACTTCTGGACTACTCAACTTGTCAGAAGAGTCAACCGAAGCTAGAGCATTATTTCCAGGTGGTGATTCAGAAGACAGACGAAGTAACCCCGACTCACTTTTAGCTTTTAACTTCTTGACCGAGACCTTGATGGGTCTTAAAGGTACACTTTGATCTGTGGTGGAACTTAGTTTGCTGACTACAGGGTCTGATTTATCAAGCGATATCTTATCAACATTAGCTTTCTCTTTCTTTGTGCATTCACTTTTGTCAGTGGGTGAAATGATCAAATTAGGGTTAAGATAATTCTTATCTTCTATCTCCTTTCGTATCAGTTTCACAAAGGGGAGTCTGCATTTAGAGACCAGCTCTGTTTGTTTTTCTAGTGTTGCATCATTTTTTTCAATTGCTAAACAGGACATCAAAGTCTTCTTGCCTTCTTTCTCCTGATCAGACAGTTTTTCAGTTATATCAAGCTGTTCAGTAGCTATTATCACCGAAAGTTCAGTTTGACTTACACATTTTACAGCCTTTAAAGATACTGAGTGGACATTTAAACTGACTGTCTTTGAGGGATATGAGTCTCTTTTAATATCAGAACTATCTGTTGAACTGCTTGAAGGGTTTGTAATGGTCTCAGGTGGCTGCTTATTTTTGGAGCAAGTATTGTCGACTGACAGCTGTGTCTTTTGATTGTCCATAGTTGACGACAGTTCAACAGAACTACCACTTTTATCAACATGGTTGGCCTTATTGGTTCTACATTTCTCAGGTATGGACTGTTCAAGTTCTGGACAGTTATCTGACTTGTTTTTGTCTATCAAAACACCCTGGTCTTTGGAAACCGCACTGTTCAACGGGGCAGAAGGAACTTGTGCCTTCTTAGTAATAGTGGATAAGTGCTTTTTCTTAGAGGGGCCCTTTATAAAGAGGGAGCGGTCTGGTACTGGACTGGTAGTTTTAGGTCTCCTATCTTTTCCTGATTTACTAAACCAAAGACCTGTCTGGATCTCAGGCTGCTTCTTTAGCTCTTTGACTACTGCCACAGATGGTTGAGATGGAAGCAGCTTTGGCTGACGTTCAAGTGCTTTAGGACACAGAATCTTAGGGACTGAGTCAAGATCAGAGTATGGGCACTCTCTGCTATCCTTGTGAGATTCGTCAAGACTACAATGCAATGTCTTTTTAGAGTTTTTACTTCCAATGTCCTTTACAGATTTGCTTTGCTTCTTCTTGCTAGAGGCTTTCTTTAAAGTGCTTGGTTTGGACTGAGTTGTAACTGCAGATGTAGTGGATCCATTTGTTAAGTGCGATGGTTCAGAAACGCTGGAAACCGGTAAAGAAACAGGTGAATGGGGCTTTTTCTCTTTTTCTGTTGGGGAACTATGGGATAGGGCTTGGTCTAGAAACGAAGTCAAGGAGGAAGTCATCTTGGGTCGTCCAGGCAGAGCAGATTCAGCCTCTACCACACTGGATTTCCAAGAAAGCTGAAGGCGTTTAGGAATCTGCAAGGTATAAAAAAAAAATTACATATTTTTACAGATTTATTTACACACAAAAAAACATGCTTCCGTCTGTCTTTCTGTATCATATATTTATTTTGATGTCTCAAGGGTGCTAAATAGTCAGACATACTTCACTCTATCAACATCTGTGCTTTCTCAATGCAGATCTAATACACCGTGCAAACCTCAATATGTACTACCACGTACCCTGTGTTACACAAAAACTATTCAGCAGAAAGGCCTTCTGTCATTTTTTCCAAAAATTCAATTTTTTTCAAATTAGCTTTTCTATATGTTCTGATGACACCAAGGAAAAAGTAAATGTAGACATTTGGCATTATAATCTCAAGCAGTCCATGAGGCTTACAGTTTGTGCACAGTACACTTGAGTCTCTGGTAGCCTTTAGACGACAGATATTTAGCCCATAGTAAACAAAGAAACACCAATAATTAATCAAACCATGCAAGCCTTTTGAAATACATTGCAATTGAACACTTACAGTGTTTTTTCTGCTCTTCTCTCTTTGCTTGTTCCTCCGATGCAAAAGGAGTAGTTGGTCAAATTCAAAGCCACCATGGAAAGTGTGAGTTGATTTTTCCTCCACCCATACAAGCTCCTTTGGCTCCCCAAAGGTCCGGACATGGTAAAGCCGACAAGGCCTGTCACTGGGCTCTTAAAAGGGAAGAAATAATTAGGTGTTATATCATGAAGCAGAAATTCCAAACACAATCACAATAAAGTAGACCTGAAGATCAACTGAGCCACTGAAATATGGATGAAACAATCCACCAATGTCATTTCCAATGTCAAAGAATACATTTTTAACTAAAGAACAGAATAAATCCCAGACATTTCTAGCTTCTATAGCTAGACATGTATAAAGACCTATTTCTGAAAAGTGGTTACAATTTCAAATCATGTCTTATGATCTGCAAAAAACAAAAAGTAATTTTCTCTGTTTAAAGTAGAGTACATTTGTATGATTTGTGTGAGTGTATTAACGTTGATTGAATGCATTTTCTGTGACACTAGATTAACTTTTTTATATACTAGTAAGTGAGAATTAAGCTGAGTAAAGCCAAAAGATTGGCTTTTTTAAAATCAAAATATGGCAAACTTTGGAAAACTGCTTCAATGTTGAAAGCTGGAAAAAATGTCTGATTACCAGGCAATTTATTTTAAACTGTATTTAAAGTAGGCCGGCAACTAACGATTTTTTTGCAAATCTATTCATTTTACGATTATTTTTCTAATTAACAGTCGGATAGTAAAAGGTTCCTTCAAAAGGAGCACAAAAGATTTTTTTCGAAATTAAACCAAGTGAATATAAAGCTTTTCCACTGGAGCAGTTCTGGATAGAGCATATGACAGGCAAAAAAGATTTTAATCTTAATTGCAAAATCTTTACACATATTTTTTGTAAATAAATTTGTTGAAATTTATGCTCAAGATGGGTTGCTACTTTGGCTAAAGGTGAATTTTGGAGTGTCTATAATCCAGTTAATCAATTACTAAATTAGTTTCAATAATTGATTAATCATAATTAATGCAATTAATTGTTTCAGCTCTAATTTAAAGACCAGATCTTGTCTATAAATTCATCTTCTAAAAGTGATTTTGCATCAAGCTTTCCTGCGTAGCTGCTGAGCACCCACCATTAAATGACACAAACATCTTCCTTGATCAGTTATCTGGCTAAAATGTAGCTTATGCCAGTTTCATCTAATTAAGTGGGATCATAGAATTTATATAAGAAAATACTTATATGCTGGAATACCCGGTGTACAGTTGCATTTTAAAGCAAACTCCATCTATTTGTTTTCTTATTAGCAGTATAAAATTATCTCCTAAGACGAAATAAAAGGTTTTATCCCTGTAGTTCAAGCTTTCTTTCAAACCTGCTGTATAAAGTTGCAAAGTGTTGTCCAGTGTTTATTGTCACAGCTAGCAAACACTGTTTACACACTTACCTTTCATTCTGTGGTAGACCCCGAGTGAGGGGTCCATCACTACTTCACAGGGCCACCATGGTCTTCGGTTAAACTTTGCCCAAACAATTTCGCCCTCAACAAACCTCACTGGGGGCAGAGGCTTTTTCTTTTGGTTATTCTGCTGCTGCGGGGCAACAAAGAATCCTCATAAGCAAAATGAGCTGTAAAAATTATACCCACAAACCTAAATTGTTCACTAATTTTTAAGTAAAATGATTTCCAAAGGCACTGACACAGTAAAGGAGTGATGGGCTGATTTTCAAATGAATGGGTAAAGGCTTTGGTTTATTGCTTTTGACCTCTCTATTATTGTTTTGTTTGTCATCAAATAAAATACAGTCAGGCCACAAAAGCAAGAGCAGAAAAAAATGTGTATTTTATACTAGTACAATTAAAAATATCTGCCTTTTCGTTTTTTGAGAGGACAAATTGCTAGATTTGGTCTGAGTTGTCTTAAAAAGCCTCTCTAAACTTGTTATTTCAAAGACTAATTTGTCTTTTTTGTTGTTGTTTTACATAAAATGGCATGGTGAAGCAAAAACACACAAGGAGGTATGCACGGTATATTAACATTAACAGATGAGTCGATCCATGTTAATTTCCATCTTGTCTTTTTTATGTGTTTCAGTTATTAAATGGGGGTTGGTCATATGTAATTTATTTTGGTGTGTGACAGGGATGCAGCGTTTTCCCCTTTGGGATGTTTGTATTTGTTATGTGGATTAAACTACAATTATTTTTGAAGTCACAGTAGTGAGCACTGTGCAGTATACTAATGTAAAATTACCTTTGTTATCTGTCTGGCATGTGTAGCTTTAAAATGTCTGGATATGTAACCTTAGACAGTACTTATGTAGAAACGTGATTATTATACATAAAGTTATGTGAACAATAAATATGGGTAATTTAAAATAATATAAAATAGCCACATATTTAAGACAAGTACACAGAAATTTATTTAATTAGTAGTTACCACTAAACTTTTGGCTAATGCTCTAACTAATGCTCTCCTTGTCAGCCTCATGGAATCGCTGGACACCCAATCTTCTTTCTATATAGAAATGTTAAATTAATCAGAGCAAGCTGAGAAGTTGCAAGCTTCCAATATTGTCTTATCACCTAATTCTGTTTTAAACTTCCTCACAATTTACTCCCTGACCTGCTGTGTTTGTTGGCCTTTGCAATCTTGTTCACTAACGTTCCTCCTTGTTCTCCATGCTGCCCTTTGGGAAGAGTCTTCGCAGCATCCACTGCAGGAACCAGCAGGTTCTGCAACAGCTTTTTCCCCACTGCCTTCAGACTGCTGAACCGTTGAAACTCTAATCTAGACTCTGCATCACATTTGCAACATATTTGCACTACCAAAATGTCTGATTTTTTAAAATAATCACTTTAAATAGAACACAACTCAATGTTCTATTGCAGTTTGCACCATATTTATCTATTTTACACTGCACTGCACTTACACTGCACTGCACTGCACCCTACACTGTTTAGGTTCTTGTTCAATGCTGAACTTCATAAAAGGTAATGTTCATTTCACTGTTGTAAGCTGTATACATAGAAATTTTGGTTTCTATACACTCTCTGTATACAAAAGGACAATAAAATTTGCATGAGTCTGTCTAAGTCTAAATCTAAACAAACATTTGAGGCCTCCATACAACGCTGCATTAACACTGAAGTTAAATAAAACTCAGCTGAATCCTATTTACTTCTTATGTGACAACTGGTTCCACTGAATTTTATTAAGAAATATTACATTAAAGGGGTCTAAATACAAATGCATTTAATAGTTTTATCATTTTACTGTCAGTTTAACCATTTTGCACTATTTTTGTCTGTCTACCAAATAAAAATCCAGTAAATACATAAAGATCAGCAATTGATTGTTGGTGATTTATAACGATGGCTGATGCTAAAAGGGTTACAACTCTGTATGAGTATGAGGAGTTCTCTGTCAAGTATCAGGATCCATCAAAATAAAGCACTATGCTTCTTTTGGTGTGCTGAACATTGAAGCTTATTAGACGGCTTCCTATAAGTGTATCACAAATATTTGTTGCTGTAAAGGATAAATAGAAATAAACCTACCACTATGTGCCATGCAGGACTGTCCTCAAAGAGGAACAGTTCTGAGTCGCTGTCCCACTCGTCTTCTGAGCCATCCCAGTATCTCCTACGCTGACCCGAGGACTGGGAGCGAGTGACCACCTTAGGTGTTGGCAGGTCCGTGTCCTTTGAGTCCAAATGTACATTTCTAGGAAAGGGCTGCGGAGCAGTCTCTGCTTTGTCATGTTTATCCAGCAAACCTCCAATGGGTGTTGCTGCTTCTTGCTCTTCATTATTGTTGTCGGCCTCGAACAATGTGGATTCAAAATGGAGTAAGCCGTTGGCGAAGGGACTGTTGCTGTCGAGAGAAAAGGCAGGGCTAGGTGGGCCTGATAGAGAATTTTCTTCATTTTTCTCAGAAACAGCAGATTCGTTAGAAGTAACAGGATGCAAGTCTTTATTTTCATTTTGGACGTCCATTTGGTTCTGCCTTGAAAAAGAGCCATTGGTGTATTCTTCTTTTCTTGTAATCCCGGAAGTAGAAAAATCTCGGTATTCACCCCAGGAGTCCCTCTCCTTTCCCCCCTTATCCTTCGTATTCGCCCCCCACTCCCAGCCCCTCTCAGGTTCCCTCGTCGGTAGGACGAGATCAGGCTGGCTCACCATCTTGGTGAGGTGCTGCAGCCTCCTGAGGGGACTGTAGGAAGAGGAGGTGGATGACGAGTGGTCCGTTTGGATGTAACTGTAGAGAGAAGTATGTTTGAGAGAGGAGGTGGTGGCAGACATGTGGTTGCTCGGTCTGGAGAGGCCGGATGGGTCGCCGGCTGGGGTCAGAGGGCAGCTAGACTGATGGCTCTTCCTTTCAGGACCTTTGTAAGGTCCACTCATACCTGCATGATCCCCCCCTAAAAAACAGAGGAGGAGATAATAAACTTCTCATAAAATTCAAGTTATTTAATTTAGAGACATATTTATAACTCAAGAACAAATATGTGTGCAATAAAAAACAGCAATCAGTTCACTCAATGCATTAAATTAAACATAAGACACTAAAATAACCTGATAAAACTAGTGATTCAATTATATTTACCAACATGAAAATAAAGTTTTAAGATTGGCACTAGCTTCCTGCTATACACTTCAACTATTCCAGGAAGGCCATGAGTAAATTCAGACACTGTTCTACAAACAAAGAAAACATAAAAACATATATACATGTTAATAGCAGTGTTAAGATATTTTTGCTTATTTTTGCTTATTTTAGAGCTGATGAGATTTTAAAAAGAGGCCAAAAATACATCGGCAGCTATCAATGCAAAAGTTTAAGAAACATGTTTGGCAACATCAATAATAAAAACATACAAAAAAATATAAACATAAAATAGAAACCATAAAAATCAACATGTAAAAAGAAATATGACACAGAATATACTGAATAAAATAACACAATATAATGGTCTAAAACTAACTGAAAAGCTGTTTTTGGTTTCTGTGAAGGTGTTATTTATACGTGTCCAGTGTCGATTCACCACCTCCAAAAGTTTTGTAATTTTTTTTCTTTTTATCTGATGCTTCATCGCCCGCCCTCCACCAATGCGGCCCAGGGCAAAATGCCCATGTTGTCCATATATGTCACTAACTATGTTTACAAAAACACGGCCAAACTGAATCATGTTTGGATTGAGAAAAAAAAGATGAGATTCTGGGCATAAATACTAAACAATACTAAACATGCTATTTGCAATATTGCTACCTAGCGTTTAACCACTAAAGGCTGACGTACGCCCCATTCATGAGGGGTTCACATGAGCGATCGGGTCCGTTTGGCTCATCTAAACTAATTTGATCATGACAAGCATTTAAATGCGCGATGACCATATTGTCAACCTGCATAAATCACCATGTTAAATCACATTATATTTTCATTCCAATCATGCTGAATCTCAAATATATCCCGACTATTATATTTACATAACACATTTTAGCCCAATCAGCTGTTTATTACTATTACTGATGCCCATGTATACTGAGCTACTGCTTCCACACAAAGTACCTTAACATACGCTGCTATATTCAGCATTTACTCCCACCTGATGGCCAACTGCAGATCTTAAAACATTAGTGGCATAAAGACCTGAGTACAAATTGTTTTTATGCTATATTCGAAAATACTTTGTATCTGAAAATCTCGAAGCACACTTTTCTGCTGTTGCTTTGAAAAAATATTGCAAATTGGGGTTTGTTTAATTAGTTTCATGGATAGTTATGTGATTTGTCCTCGGCACCTACATCCTGTGTCCCTAATTTATAAGCCATAGAAGATGAATGATGGGACACAACTGATGTGATGAAAAGCTGAGCATTTTCCATTTTCCTCAAGGATAGAATGTAAGAAAATATATTACGAAGCTCAAAACAACCTGTTTTAGGGGTGTGGGGTCTTCAGTTGCTTTGCTCTTTAACTTAAAAATGAATCACCTAATGCAACAAAAATCAATTATCTCTCACTTTTCCAAACTGGTCTGGAAATACATGACGATTGCCGAGGAGGCAATCGTCATGTATTGTAAATTTTGTACTATAGTAAACATTTGATTTTATTATATGTGGGCTTTTACTCTACAGCAGCCTTGGGTGTCTTTAAAGGTGCATTATTATTATCATTATTAGTGTATTCATGTTCCTTAGGAGTACTTACAAACTGCTGCAGATCACTGATAAAAGATAGAAAACAACTAAATGTACATCTTATCAGTTCCTTGTCATATACAAGCTTTAAGTTTGCCCTCTGTCTGTGAACTACCCCTCAGCTCACATATGAAAGTTTCAACGAGGCATCATCCCTCTGTGAACTTTCCAGCAAACTTCTAGCAGCAAAATAGAGGGATGTTATCTTAAGTACGACCCCCTGTTCTACTTTTAATAAACTCAAGGAAACACCATTTAACCTACATCCTGAAAGCAAAAAACTCATTTGGAAACATATATGGTGTGAAACACCTCGCTTTGCTATCCTCCTGTTGCTGCTAGTTGTGCTAAAATACTAACAATAACTTGAACAGGGAAACCAAATGGAGATTTCAATTCAACTGTTATTCTATTATAGATAAATACAAATAAAATACAATAAAAGCTGTTGCTGCTTTTGCAACAGGTCTCACCAACATCTGTTGCAATGTCCTTTCATTTCAACAAAATGAGTGATTTCATACTTTTCAGTTTAAAAGCCTTTTTAGGTACCAAATTGGACCATCTCCCAAAGTTACTCACAATCACAATAAGGACTATTGGCAGTTAAGTCAATACTTTATAATCCAATATAGAAAGGTGACTAGATAAATACTATCCATAGATTATCTGGGTTTGATCATGGTTCCTAATCTCTAATTCTTCCAGTACTTTAACTGTTTTAGAAAAGGATCACAATAACATTCAATGGAAGTAGCATGGGAAAAATATTCTCCTGATGTAAAAATGATTAAACCCCAAGAGAAGCAAAGCACTGTACTCCCTCTGAAACGAAGGGAAATTAAAAAATGTCAGTAGCTGGGTCAGAAATACGCCAAGCTAGCTAAGATATGTTTTAAACCACAGAGCTTACGAGTAAGAGTTACCAAATAAAGCTGATTAATTATTTCCAAAAAGGCAACAAAAAACAACAACAAAAAACAAAATTTACAATTAATTATGTTCCTTTCACAGTGATTATTGAAATAAGGGATAGAACACCTGCTTCATAAAGTTTAGAATATGAATATGATATACACAAAATATAATTTCTTCAAATAACCGAAAATTTAAGACAATATGTGAGCATGACTTTATGGTGTTTGATGAACATTTTTGACTTTAAATTATACAGTGTGTGAACGGTGTGTGTAAAAGCCCATGTCTTGAATACAATAAATTACAATGCAATGTAGATATAAGAATTCAAATAATGTTATAAATAGTAATTAAAGCAAAACATAAAAATAAACATTTTTACAATTTCTCAATTGAAATTGTGTGCTGAGTTTTTCTCAACAACAATATAAGAAAATCAGGCATTATTGGGGGCATTAAAAACCCCTGAGGACCTTATATTATATTTTCAAAATGGCCTCCTTCAGAATAACATCATGTAAATGTAGCTATTATAACCTGTCAACTCCATAACTGACGGTGTTGTCAGTGACAGTGTTGATAAATTCTACTAAAGTGTGCAATTACCTCATTTTATTGTATTTTACATAAATGCCCTTACTTGACATGCCTCAAATATCTTTTTGTTGGTTATTTTTAGCAACTTCTTCTAAAGCTTTAAAGTTGAATTTGAATATGATTTGTTTTGTCCTTCAATAATAAGAATTTAGGCTGCTCATTGGCACAGTGGGTAGCACTGCTGCCTTGCAGCTAGAAGGTTCCGGTTTTATTCCCGGCCTAGAGTCTTTCTGCATGGAGTTTGCTTGTTCTCCCTGAGCATGTGTGGGTTCTCTCCAGGTACTCCGGCTTCCTCCCACAGTCCAAAAACATGACTGTTAGGTTAACTGGCTTCTCTAAATTCTCCTTAGGTGTGCCTGAATGGTTGTTTGTCCTGCTTGTCTCTGTGTTACCCTGCAATGGATTGGCGACCTGTCCAGGGTGTACCCTGCCTCTCACCCGTAGACAGCTGGAGATAGGCACCAGCACCCCTCGTGACCCCACTTGTGATTAAGCTTGTCAGAAAATGGATGGATTGATGGATAATAAGAATTTATGTCATTCCATGGAAACAGGATGAAATAACTATGCAATAAAGGAAATTTTGTGTATTGTCTTCATCTAGATTGTAATATTCTTAAACTGCCAATGTTATCATCATAGTCATTTCTGTCACCTTGTCGCACTATGTCAACAACTGTTTTTGTTTTTTTGTTTTAAATAGCATTTGTTTTGTTTCTTCAGAAGCATTTGTCCACAAAACTGCTGACAAATTTCTCTAGTTCAGGTCCAATACAAATGTAATTTTACCAATAAGCACTACAACCAAGAGCCTATAGCTTAACCTTGTTTTACATTTACAAAACATCATTTTCTATATTCAAAAATATAAGCTTTAGAAATAATCATATTATATTTGGGGGAAAAAATAACCAATTCTGTCCCCGATCTCAAGAATCACAGAGAATTAGTTTTCATTTTCAAAGGATTAAGGATTTTAAATGTAATGTGTAATATCATATTCATATGCCAAACAATGAAAAATAATCTCATAGTAGCATATAGCTGTAATCTATAAAGCAATCACGATGACTGTGCTGCGTTTTAATCTCCAGTTATGGCAGCAGGTGATGCACATTAGACATTAAATCTCTCAACATGATGCCCAAAATAAAAACACAAAATCCCTGCAAACAGCGTCCTAACGTCTCATTCAATCCGAATAATAAAAAAAGAGCTGCAAATCTTCTCTGAGCTGCTATCGCGATATGTTGGAAATGACATCAGACACGATAAGGTCAGGCTGTAAAAGTCTCACATGAAAGCAGGACTGGCGTCCAGTTATGAGGCCGGTAACGCCACACCGCTGCGTCAGGATCAACCATTAAAAATGAGGATTAACACCAACCGGCGCGTGCGTGTTTTTGTCAAACCACGGTGGCAGGAAGAGCGCGTGTGCATGTGTGTAGGTGTGCGACGACATGAGTGTGTGTGTGTGATTGTGTGTGTATGCATGCGGAGGTTTGATGGTTGGGGGGGGGGGAATAAAAAAAGCCTAACATGAAGGGGTGGAAAGCGCGACGAGACGCAAGTTCACGAGCGAACGCAAACACGCGCGCACACACACGCACGCTTTCTCCACGGATAGATGCGTGCATCACAAACAGCAGAAATCACGCACAAAATGCCACATGACGTGGGATCCCACGCCAGAATCTTACCATTCCGGTGTGGCCCAGCGCTAAAATGACCCCCAGCCGGCTCATTTTGGCGTTTAAATGGGCCCATTTCCAGATTTGTGAGAGCGGATCAGTGAAGTAACAGCGGCAGCACTCACTAGGCCTGGATCCTTTGCTCTCTCTCCCTCTCTCACTCACCCATTCCCCCCCACCACCACAAACACTCTTCTCCTCCCTTTACATGCGGTCTGCTCCAGCGGCCCCCGGAATAATTTCCACAGATTAAGTTGGTTGTGGTCCTTTCAGCGAAACTCCCTATTTTTGCAAAGTAATAACTTTCTAATCCCCCGTCCAGGGATGGATGCATGCTCTGCTGCCTATTTCCTGCCAAAAGACACAGCCTTGCCCCTTCAAAGTCAGTTTCTGTTGTGTGAGCACTGCCAGGCGTCACCACTGTCTCCCCTCTCAGCCAGTCCATAGCATGGAGAACAGAGGGGACCACAATCTTTTATAATTTACAGTAAAACAATAAAATAAGATGACAGCCACCCAAAAACACACGGATACAGAAAGCCCCGCCCCTTTTCTTATTTTAAAGCATTCATACCAAACTCCATCTCCGATCAAGAGCCAAAAGTGTCAAAATTCAATACAAAATACTTATTCATTTTATAATGTTATTGTAAAAATAATGAAATATATGAATCATTATAGCCATAAATATCTAAGTTTCTTGTAAATCCTTGCATTATATCTTCAAAGCTTACAGGAATATTTATTTAATGAGTGCATAATGACATGTTGAAACCATTTTCTAATACATTTCTTATGTAGTTATTTGTTTGAATAGTTTGTCATCCCCCTTAATAAAGGTGACTAAAGAGATGTTTTTTGCATGTTAACCAGTTAGATCTCTTCCAATTAATTTTTGTTTTGTTCGCTATACTGACCAATTGCCTTCCATAAATACCTCATTGAAATCCAGTAAATATGTGCAACTAGTTGCTGAAAAATATTATTTATTTAATTTGAAATTCACTAATTTCCTTTGATTAAAGGAAAATTATCTTTTTGTTTGTCAAAAGAGGTAGGAAAGGTCTCTTTTTTTGGGTGAAGGTTGGTCAAAATGAAACATCACCTGACCCATGGTAACATTATTTCCAAAAATAGGTCAAGTGCACATTAATCAAACCTGCAAAATGATAATATTCACCTGCAAAAGACAGATAAATAACGTGTAGCACTCAGGTTTAGTTCCACATGTAAATAATCTGATACCACTCCCTTTAAAGGTTTGGGAGTGGCGGCCTAGTGGTTGAGCATAGAGCGTTAGTTTGAGCCCAACTCTCACCGACTGACACTCTGTGTCTTTGAGCAAGACCCTTAACCCCACACTACTCTCTGGGTGCCACACAATGGCAGCCCACTGCTCCCCATCAATGCAGAGGTAAATTTCTCCAATGTAAGAGCAATAAAATTGAATAATAAAAAAAAAGAATGTGGTTGGTGGAAGGAGGGATATTCAATAGAACCTTTTGAGCTGATTGGTTGAAGCCCCACCTCGTGCCCGCCTACCCTAGTTAGGTTTTAGCAAATTCTGGTTGCAGATGAAATAGCAGCAGATGCTATCTGAAATCACAACAACTTGCTCTTCGTTCTTTCAAAGATAAAATTTTGGATTCTGACAAATATCCTGCTTTGAGCTCGCAGCTCTTGATTTCATCGCATTTTATGCCCCGCATTAAACCCTAATATTGCAATGTAATTGCTAACCCTTTTTGGGTTGTTGTGAACTCACATATACTGCAAGAAGAGTTAGCATATAATGTCTAAGGCGTAGAAGCAAACAGCACTCAATCTTCATGTAAATTGCAGTGTGTTTGGTGCCACCAGTTGAAGGGGAGTATAACTGCAGGCATAAAAACCTAAAATCCCTTGCCTCCACACAGCTCTAGTATATCCTAGTCGACATGCATGATGATATTTATGCTACACAGGTCCTGTACTCTAGTAGGAAGAAGGCATTTTCCATCCATCCATCCATTTTCTGACACGCTTAATCCCAGCTGGGGTCACAAGGGGTGCTGGTGCAATTCTCCAGCTGTCTACAGGTGAGAAGCGGGGTGCACCCTGGACAGGTCGCCAGTCCATCGCAGGGCAACACAGAGACAAACAACCATTCACGCACACACTCACACCTAAGGAGAATTCAGAGAAGCCAATTAACCTAACAGTGTCCTTTTTGACTGTTGGAGAAAGCCGGAGTACCCGGAGAGAACCCACGCATGCTCAGGGAGAACATGCAAACTCCATGCAGGGAATCGAGCCCAGAACCTTCTTGCTGCAAGGCAGCAGTGGTAGTGCCAATGCACCACTGAGCAGCCCAAAAAGACATTTTAACTAAAACTAATTTTTTCATTAAATCCATACATTAATTCGTGAAATTAAGTAAACCTAAAATGTATTTATGTTTTGTTTTAGACATTTTTGTGTATTTAATGTTTGACCATACTATTAAATATTATACAATATATATTTAGACATAATGTATTTGAATAACTTTATAAAACTAATACATAATAGATATTTAACAAATAATTTGTTATTGGATTATAGCACTATTGGCCCTTGATACGTTACCAGGGAGGTGTCCAAACGCCCAACCTGTACCAACAACTGGCTTCTGCAGCACCTTGAAGAGAGAAAACGACAAAATGCATCAATTGAACAGTTCAAATATGTCTCCCACTACCTTCCTCAAGGAGAAAAGCTTCAGCAGTCTACGCGGAAAAAAACACAACACATGATGGTTCCCTTTCATTAGACGAGTAGCTGGGTAGGCTCCATGTCTGCACACCCACTCTCTTCAAAATGGAGTCCCTCAAAAGGCGAGAGAGGTGGAGAAAAAAAAGAAAGAAAAAAAAAAAAGAAGAGAAGCAGGCCACAAAGTGTTAATGTATGTTCGATATAAAGTTCACCCTGGCACGGGAAAAAGTGAGCCTAAAAGCGCACCCCTGCAAAGCTTTGGAGCGCTTTCTGGAAGCATTCCCACGACAGGGACATTTTCTTTCTCCTTATGTCTTATAAGCGTTATTGCACGACTGAGGAGGACTGAGGCACAGTTATATCCCCCTCATATATATATGTGTGTGCGAGAGAGAGATTGGATGTGTGCTTTTTAAAACGCACATCATATATTGTGACTTAAAGCGTCGCCTCAGCTGCTTTACTTCCAGTTTTTTGGTGCATATTGGAGGCGATCAGACAGCAGCAGCCTCCCGGCCGGTGAGACCGGAGCTGGGCTGCGTGTGGGCTTCCTTCTTCCCTGGTGTTCGCTTTTCAGCCACATCAAAACTCATACCTTTAAAAATGTTCATATCAGTGTGACACTGCAGTGTTGAAAATGAGTGTGAAATATGCCCGCACAGAGACGCGCGTGCGTTTATTCCTCGGTTGGCGAGGAGGGGAAACTGCAAACTGCCCGCAGAGTCTTCACCTTTTCCTGGAAACACTTGGTGGATTTATATATAGGGGGTGTGCTGAATGCTCCGCAAAGCTAGATGGGGTCATTGGTGAAAACAAAAGAAAAACGTTGCGTATATATTCAATGATTTATGCACCCAGAGGCGCTTAAAATCATAGAGGAGATTTGATGCGTGCTTTGATTTTCCGCCTCGTTGTGAACAGCAGGGGTTGGGCTGGATATATAAAAAAATAAAAAGTGATTTATTTCGACAGACAGGAGAGGACACGCGGATAGGACGGGACAGGGGCCTGCTGCGGGTTTGAGCCGCGCAGAACAGCGCCCACCTTCGGTTGCACCCCGCATCTCTGAGTCACCGAAACTTTCATTTTTACTCTTCATTGCTTTTTTGCTGCAGCTTCAAGGCAACCTTCTCTCAAAGCAATGGGGTTTATATTTAGAGGCAGGGGTGGCTCTAGTGTGAATTACTATCTGGATGGACCAAGGCTGTAACTTTGCGGTGAAAGTTGGTGGGGACACTCTTAGGGTGGTGGCTGATGGACCTAATGTTATTCTACACACTTTCAATAGGGTTTCTATTTTCCAAAAATTAGCTCAAACATATATTTATTGAATGCTTTCCTATTGTTGAGATCACAAAATAATCAAAATACACTGATATTTATATGTATAGATAGACATTAATGTATATTAGAAAAAGGATAAATAACAGCCAATTCCGATGCCAACAGTAAAATATCATGCCTCACTACTATGTACACAATTTCAGTTTCATTCATCCATCCAGAAAAATGTTAATGGATTGATGGATATTTTTCCTTTCAGCTACATTAGTGATTAGCCTCCTTCAAAAGCAGAAAAATCTAATTTAGACATTTGTCCCACATATTGCCAAAGTCTATGTATTGAAATTATTGGTGGGGACATGTCCACACCAGTCCTTCAGAAAGTTACGCCTATAGGGTGGACCTCTTATTCTGCATCCTCAAAGAACCATATTCACAAACCAAACTATAGCCTATGGAGAAAAAAAAAAAAACATTATTCAGTAGGCTTGGCGAGTTACCAAAGATAACATGTTATTTGATATTTAAAAAGTGTCATCAGAAAGACCAAAATATAAAGTGCAGTGCCAACTCTAGTATATTAAATGCAAAATTATAATAAAAAATATATATATCTCACAGTCAAACAGCAAATTAAAAGCAGAAGAAACATAAAAAACAATAACACAATTGGTTTATTAAAACAGGATAAAGCAACTCTAGTGAAAATATCTACTGTTTACTGTATACTTGGCTTTTAGTTGCCACACCAGGCTCGTCACATAGTAAATAATAAAATCTTTACTCTTATGTAGAAATAATAAGATAATAATTTTGAAATAATTTTACTTGCTTGTCTTTGTGTTATCTGTGTCCTTTTTAAGCTTTATTCGAAGTTTATTTGGAAAGTCCAGTGGATTGTTTTTTATATTTGGAAAGAAGTAAGCAATGCACACAGAGCCACAAAGGAGGCTAGAAGGGAGAGCAGGTAATAATTAAGGGGAGAGAGGGATAAAAGAGAAAATATACAGAATAACTCCTGTTTTCACAGCTTCAAAAAGCAAGAAGGATGAAGAAGAAAAAACAACACCAACCAAGACAAAAGACGGAGTGTCCTTTGAATACACAGTAATGTGTACAAACATCAAAACCTATGAAGATAAAACTATGTTATTCAAAGCTATATGTATTTGCAGCTGCAGCTTAGAATTAAGCATAGCTGTTAATCTGTTAGCACCTGGATCCAAACGCATCTGGTGTATATCCATGAGATTTCTTGTGTGTAGAAGGTGTATAAAGCTTATTCAACAGGAAGATATGCTCAATAGCAGGTGTGAGGGGCCTCAGACCCACCCCAAAAGAGCCCAGGGCTGATACAGAGGAGACCCCAGATACTCAAAAGTAACCCAGAGTAAAGGGACAGAGGGAGGGCCTACACAGGGACACCGGCACTCTCAAGAGATGGACAGACAAGAGCCCTGGGGCAAGACCCCAGAGGTTATAGTGCTGAAGCCCCAAGGAGCTGCCATGATGAGCCCTTGAGCTTTGGCAGCAGACGATCAAACCTAAAGCAGACCAATTTGTGAGCCCAGAAACGCAAGGCGCAGGGGAGGACAATTCCCAAACAATGACTCCACAAGGCCAAGGAGCCCAGGCTTGGCCCAACAGCTGCCTGGAGGGAGATGGCACCCAACAAAGCACCAAGCCCTGGGCAGAGAGAAACAAGCAGCCGAAATAAGAGTTTTAAGCTAACACAATATATCCGTAGCATGATCATAATATGAGATGCTCAGTTTCCTCTCTCTTGTGGTGTGTTAGCCATTCTGTACATGACAGTCCTTACATAATGTCATTTGGGGCAAAATACATTTTTATAGGCATTTAAGCCATTTTTAAAAGTCCATCACCAATTTTTTTTATATTTGAACACAAAATAGATGTTAACTATAAAAAAGCTTCATTCAAGCCATTAATCATGCTAATAATCTACCAGTTACTCCTTACAGGTAAAGTGTAATAATTACAGAAATTTAACTGTTATAAATGTAATATGTCATCTATATGTATGTTATTTATTGCCCTGCGATGGACTGGTGACCTTTCCACGGTGTACCCCATAGACAGCTGGCGATAGGCACCAGCAGCCCTCGCAACCCCAGCTGGGATAAAACGTGATGGAAAATGGATGGATGTTATTCATTATCACCTATGAACTGAAAGTCTCAATATTTATGTTTGCCTTGCCTTAGAAATAAATATTTATAATTACATAGGAGTGGGTTTCGCATTCTTGTAGTAAGACATTTTTTTGTGTTTTGACAGCGCAGAGCTGACAAACTTTCTTCAAACTTATTCGAGGAAATAATAAAGCATTTAGATGGAAAAGTAATATGGTGTGGAGATTCCAATACCCATAGTCAAATATGAGATTATAAGACTGATGAAAATGGGCTGATTATTGAGGAATTAATGGAATCTAAAAAGCTAGTGTGCATTAAGAATGAAGGAGGAACAACATTAAATATCAGCGACTGGAACAGAATCTACTATTGATCTGACATTAGCTTCTGACTCGCTGGCAGGATTGAGTTTTTGGAATGTTAATAAAAAATGCAACTATATGAAGTGATCATTTTCCTATAATGAATCCAATTGGATTTAGTATACAGGAAGATGATTTCTAGCTCCGACCTTTTGTTTCCTAGTTACTATCCCTTCAGCTTTTGGGAGGTCAACACTCAAAGCACTATCCAGGGAGCTACAGAATGATGTACTGAATCTGGAAAGCCTTCAGTCTTAAGGACATTATGCTAAAAACAAGACTTCCTAGTCAAAAAGAACATTTCAGGTATCTTCAATGTAATTCTTACGAGTACAAATGACATTGCTTTTCCCCATTCATGTGTATTAGGCCATTACTTTCATATATCTGAAATCACATAACTCCAATCTAAAATAAACATTCTGGATATCTAAAAAGGAATTTCAGATCTCCGTAATCCAATTTTTACTGGTCATTATTTTTGCTTCAGATATCAAGAGTATAACTATTAAAGATATCTGAATTATCCAGTCAAGCAAATATATGTTAAAATAGCAACTTAAAATGAGTAAGAATATTTAGATATCTGAAATGTACTTCTTACTAGTACACATTTGATTTTGAAGTACTTAAAATTTAATTCTACAGGTAGAAATGAAATTTGTGATATCTATAATAAAATTCTGACTAGGAATATTGTTACTTATGACTAGGTAGAATGCTTTAATGCTATCTATAATAGAAATTATAGCCTGCCTAATTTATGTTAAAACAGAGCTTCATTATTCTTTTGCAAGTATTCAAAACTGCATTTTGGATAGGCATTATTAAAATTGAGATATCAGGAATTTAACTAGTCATAAAATAAGTAGTTATCTGTAATGACATTTCTACAAGCAGAAATATATATTTGATGTCAAGAATTGGATTTTTAGAAATCTGTAATTTTATATAAATCTTTTCATTTATCTGAAATTGTCATTATGACTAGCAATAACTCTATTATGGAGATCTGAATTTAGAGTTCATCCTCGTCAAAATTAATTTAGAGGAAGAACGTTTATTTTAGATATATGGAAGTAAAAGCCCAATACATATGAATGACAAACATTACATCATTTTTAATGGTAAAAATTTCAGTTATCTGAAATGTTCATTTTGAATAGAAAGAAATGCATTTGAGGCATCTGGATTATTCAGTCAAGCTAATAAATGTCAAAACAGTCTGCCACACTCTACTACTCAGCAACCAATGGGAAATAAGCAACAAGCACCAGCTGAAATTGGACAAGTGGCTGAATGGCTCATATTTACAAAAAATCAATGCGTATTTGACATGAATTTGACATGTTAACACATTCTTAATGCATTAACTACGTGTGACAGATTGAAAGGCGAAGACAACTAGTTAACAACGCGTAAACAGCATGCAAAACACAGGTATTGTCAGTGTTTCAGAAATCACAAGTAATTTAACCATTTGGCTTTCCATATACATTTGCACGTGTGCATGGACCTGTCATGAAATAATGTATTCTTCTTTTGCTGAGGTGGGCTGTGC